GAAATATCGCCAACTTAGTTTAACTCTATTATATGCAAGTATAATTCAACTATGCCATATAATAAGTCTAAGTTATTCGTCATGTTCCATTCAGAAACATTGCCAACTTAGTTCAACTCTATTATATGCAAGTATAATTCAACTCTGCCATATAATAAGTCTAAATTATTCATCATGTTTGATTCAAACGTATCGCCAACTTAGTTCAACTCTATTATATGCAAGTATAATTGAACTCTGCCATATAATAAGTCTAAGTTATTCGTCATGTTTCATTCAAAAATATTACCAACTTAGTTCAACTCTATTATATGCAAGTATAATTTAACTATGCCATATAATAAGTCTTCGTCATGTTTCATTCAAAAATATCGCCAACTTAGTTCAACTCTATCATATGCAAGTATAATTCGACTCTGCCATATAATAAGTCTAAGTTATTCGTCATGTTTCATTCAGAAACATCGCCAACTTAGTTCAATTTTATCATATACAAGTATAATTCAACGTTGTCATATAATAAGTCTAAGTTACTCATCATGTTTCATTCAGAAATATCGCCAACTTAGTTCAACTCTATCATATGCAAGTATAATTCAACTCTACTATATGATAAGTCTAATTTACTCGTCATGTTCACCATAGGAACATCGCCACAAGACATTTTGGTCTTATCGCACAATCATGGATTCCAATAACATTTTTATGCTTTCTTTACATAGGCTTCGACATCCTTTTGCATGTAGGGTCACCAGAATCCCTATGATATAGCTCAGTGGGCAAGGGATCTGCCCCTTGCGTGGATCTCGTGTAAAAAGTCTTCAACCTGGGAAGGATGTACACATCGCAATAGAGGTCCAGTAAAAGTCCTTCTATACAGATGGCCTTCTACCGACAGGCAGAACCTGGCCGACTTCAATTTGATCTTGCATGCTTCTTTTTTGTCTTCTAGGATCTGGGATCTACTCATTTAGGCTGAGATCTTGTCTTCTCGGACTTACTCATCTAGGCGGAGATCTTGTCTTCTAGGACCTGGGATCTGAGATCTGGAATTTGGGATCTACTCACTTAGGCTAAGCTCTTGTCTTCTCGGACCTAATCATCTAGGCGCAGATCTTGTCTTCTAGGATCTGGGATCCAGGATTCGAGATCTAGAATCTGGGATCTGCTCACTTAGGATGAGCTCTTGTCTTCTCAGACCTAATCATCTAGGCTAAGATCTTATCTTCTAGGATCTGGGATCCATGATCTGGAATCTGGGATTTGCTCACTTAAGTTGAGCTCTTGTCTTCTCGAACCTAATCATCTAAGCCGAGATCTTGTCTTCTAGGACCTGGGATCCAGGATCTGGAATCCAGGATCTGCTCACTTAGGTTGAGCTCTTGTCTTCTCGGATTTACTCATCTAGGCCGAGATCTTATCTTTTGGGATCTGGGATTTAGAATCTGGGATCTACTCACTTAGGCTGAGCTCTTGTCTTCTCGGACCTAATCATCTAGCCCGATATCTTATCTTCTAGGATCTGGGATTCGGGATTCGAGATCTAGAATCCAGAATCTGGAATCTGCTCACTTAGGCTGAGCTCTTGTCTTCTCGGACCTAATCATCTAGGCTGAGATCTTGTCTTCTAGGATCTGTGATTTGGGATTTAGAATCTGGGATCTGCTCACTTAGGCTCAGCTTTTATCTTCTCGAACCTATTCATCTAGGTCGAGATCTTGTCTTCTAGAATCCAGGATCTGGAATCCGGGATCTGCTCACGTAGGCTGAGCTCTTGTCTTCTCGGACCTAATCATCTAGCCCGAGATCTTGTCTTCTAGGATCTGGGATTCGGGATTCGAGATCTGGAATCTGGGATCTGCTCACTTAGGCTAAGCTCTTGTCTTTTCGGACCTAATCATCTAGGCTGAGATCTTGTCTTCTAGGAACTGGGATTCAGAATCTGGGATCTGCTCACTTAGGCTGAGCTCTTGTCTTTTTGAACCTACTCATCTAGGCCAAGATCTTGTCTTCTGGGATCTAAGATCTGGGATCCGGGATCTGGGATCTAGAATTTGGGATCTGCTCACTTAGGCTGAGCTCTTGTCTTCTCGGACCTAATTATCTAGTTCAAGATCTTGTATTCTAGGATCTGGGATTCTGGATCTGGAATCCGGGATCTGCTCGCTTAGGCTGAGCTCTTGTCTTCTCGAACCTAATCATCTAGGCTGAGATCTTGTCTTCTAGGAACTGGGATCTGGGATTTGCTCACTTAAGCTGAGCTCTTGTCTTCTCAGACTTACTCATCTAAGCCGAGATCTTGTCTTCTGGGATCTGGGATCTGGAATCCGGGATCTGCTCACTTAGGCTGATCCTTTTATACTTGAAAGTCATCTCCTTGAGAGCGCTCATGCCCCCTGTCTTTGCATTCCTTCTGGAAGGGTCTTCATTCCGTTAATGTCGACACATTCTCCATTTTCGCTACACTAGTCGTTGCCGACATGTTGATCTTGCACGATGATGGCCATCTATTCTAACTAAGTTCTCACAGACGGCGCCAAATTGTGGATGTTGATTTCCAACCACACAACCAAACAGGAAACTCAGCTAGAGAGCACCGACAAAATATATTAAGCCCGAGTACCTGCCAACAAGAATATGAGAATATCGCAGTGGTTCGTTCACCCGGAGGCACTCTGACGATCAAGTAAGTAATCTTATCTCTCACAGATATCAATACAAGTACTTAAACTTCAACAATGAAACCATAAAAACATCTCAAATAAAGCATACCTTAGACCCACGAGATGCCTTACTTATGATCAGTGTCCCACTTACCCTAGAAGTCTTACTTCATGGGACTTTATCATTTACAAGATAACATTTATCACAACTCACACTATTCAGATTAAGATGAACTCCCTCAAGAGTCTCATCTCTATCCAAATAAGTAGTTTTATGTCATCTAGGACTTTAGTCCTCTATGCAAATAGCTTGATGTCATTTAGGACTCTAGTCCTCTATGCAAATATCTCGAATTCCGCTATTATCGCACCATATCTCAGCACTGTGGTCCGTCCACGTGACACCTCGACTAACAACCTCGACTACGTGGACTACTTAAAAATATGTCCCCACACTGTTTATAACTATTTTATTATGATTGAAAATCGATGCATGCAGGTTGATATTTAAAAGTTTGATTGACGCAGTCATTAGAAAGGGCCGCAGAGTTTGTTTGGTGTATTTTTCTCTCTCTTTTTTTGAGTTAAAAGTTGATAATTAAGAAGAAAAAGCATCTCTCCGTCCACTTTTCAATAATCAATTTATTTCAGCTTCTTTAAGTTAGCTTCATAAACTGTGAACAAAAGCTAAACTAAACACTCTGATGCAATTTTAATTTTTTTTAAATAAAAAAGAAAGAAATTACGAACAATTTCATAAACTGAACCAATATAAGATTGCAATTCCATAAATTGCACGACGAAATCACTGTTATGTTGCACCATTCATCTAATTTTGTAAACTTTCTTAAAAAAAAAAAAAAAACACATCTAGAATGATATCAGATTGCATTTTTGAAATTTAAATTTAGCTTGAGAGGTGTGCTCTTTGAAATGACTGGACCAATTGTTTAATTAATACATTGTGAGTGTTTGAGAAGTTGTTATTTTAATAGATTATTTTAGTTTTTAATTATTTTAGTAAGTTAAAATTTTTGTGTTTAGAAAAATGATTGAATTTTTTTGTAGTTAAATGTAATGTTTGTGAGAAAAAAATAAAATGATTATAAATTTGATGTGATATTTTATCTTGTTTTTTTGTAAATTTTAACCTAAAAGAGACTAAAATTTTTGTTGCCAAACACCCCCCAATTATTACTCTACAAAAAATTATAAAAAGATCAAAATGGCCATCATTTAATAAGAAAAAACACCCCCCAATTATTACTCTACAAAAAATTATAACAAGATCAAAATGGCCATCATTTAATAAGAAAAAAAAGTTATGCAGAATGATTTTTAAATTTTTTTTGTGGATCCCACATAAATTAAAACTTAGCAATGTTCTTTAGGATTCGTTTGGCAAGAAGAGTTTGGGGCTTTTTTGGCTATTTTAGTTACAAAAGACAAAATAGGCTATTTTAGCCACAAAAAACAACACATCACATCCAACCCATAATCATTACACTCTTCTCTCACAAAAAAAGTCAAAAAAGTCAAAAAGCCAAAAAGCCCTTCTCAAACCAAGCTTTTTAGTTCAGGCTAAAATAACTAAAAAAGCCAAAAAACCAATCCACTTCCCAAACGGAGGCTTAAATAAATCTTTTGAACATTTTTATTACTTTCAAGACAAGCAAATGATGTTTATGTCTCCAAAATACGAACAGTTAAAAACTTAAAAATCAACCTAAAAATAGCCATTTAGAGCTTTATTAGCTCTTCCATTTTTTAATCTCCCCTAAAAATCTGGCTGTTAATGGCTTTGATTAACTGGGAAGTGAAAGAAAATACGCGTTGCCACCCAAAAAAAATTGAACAAAATCTTGTGTTTAAATAAAATTTTTAAACTTCAATTCATACACTCCCTCTCTCCCTCTCGCATGCAAAGATCAACAAAGTATTTTCAATAATTTTTAGTAAAATTTATAGTTTTTTTTTTTCAAAAATTTACTGATTGTTACAATCATTTGAAGAGATGACACCATGTTTGTTTCATGGAATTATGCGGGACTGGTGGGAGAATTTGGTGTAATTTTTTTGTTGCGAAAATGGAGTTCTCCATGGCATTGTCTCCCATTTTGTTCTGAAGGTGAAGGCGCGATTTTTCGTTTATCCTTTTTATTGTTATTATTATTTTGTTTTTGTTTGTATTTTTGCTTTTGCTAAGGGTCATATATGTTTCGATTAAAATATCTTCATACAAAAATGATTTATTTTGTTTTATATTCATTATGTCTCTATATATCCAAGCATTTTGAATCAAATATTCTCTATTTTATTGTTTTTAATTAGAGGATCATAAGCACCATAGGGTCCAACAAAAGCAACTCAAAGGTGGAAGGTTTCTTGCTCTAATGGCGATGAAGGGCATTTTTAAGGGTTTCAAATACATCACGCAAATATTTGGTACATATCATTTCCTTTTTCTCAATGTAATTTTTTGTTGAAATTTTCCATTTGATTTCTAAGAAAATGGTAGAAACACATAACTAGGGTTTGTGTTTCATGACTTCCTCATTTCTTTTCATTTCCTCTATATTCATATGTCTATAAAAATAAAATTAAAATTAAAAATATCTTTCTTTCAATTACCATGCAATTTCTATTGAGCGATAATACAAATTTTCGAGTACATATTTTACAAACCAACAACGCTGGAAATTTCAAAATTTTATCCAGAAAAATACTCAAAAAAATATTATTTTGTTGAAATTCATTTCAATGTGAATCCATTATTCAAAATAAAATTTAAACACACATCACTTTTTGCAATAAATTTCTTAACATGTTTTCTGTGTTCCTATCATTTCTATTTACCAATTGTGATAACTTTGCAGAGAATGAGAAGGAACAAGAAATAGTAATTGGCAACCCCACAGATGTAAAACATGTTGCACACATTGGTTGGGATGGTCCATCTGCAAATACACCAAGTTGGGTATGTCTTTTTATTTATTTATCTATTTATTATTATTACTATTATTCTTTATTTGTTTTTTAGCACTTCCCTTATAAGTAATTACCACTCACAATTTATCAAAATGAAAGACAAACATATAAGAACCATGCATGATGGTGTTTATTAAAATTCTTCCGTAACACTATCTTTCATGTTCTTCTATGTTTCATTTTCTGGCCCCACTCGAGACTTACAATGATAATTTGAACTGCTCATCTCATAAACCTTGTGATGAATGCCGTCTATGTAAAAAATAAGTTTCATTAAATATTGATAAATAGATGAAAAAAAGACTAGGAAAACAAGTTTTTACTTCAAGAAAACATCCCAAAGGCAGGAGTTACCCTTTTGAGTGTTATTTTCTTCTCAGTCTGACCAGATCTCTATCCCTCTCTTCTTATATCCCAGTTTCATATTCTCTCTTTATCACATGATTAATTTCTATAAGTAGTGAAGGGGTTTATAGTTTGTTTTGGTGTAGCCTTTTACAAAATTTGAAAAATCTAAAAATTCGAGAGATATTGATTTATGATTATATTTCAATTTTTAAACAATAAATAATAATCTCAGTCAAACCAATTAAAGACAAATTGGCACAACAATTTAACGTGAAAAAATCACAATTGGAACGCCTCCAATCGTGATAAAAAAAAATCACGAGTTAAAGTCACAAAATAATCCACTAAGAAGACAAAAACAAATTACACAACTTTACTTTCAATTATCTGACGAATCCACGTCCGAATAAAACCGATCTCAATGTGCCTCTTCTACTACCGTCTTCACTTCGGAATTGTCTTTTCCAATATTGAATCCACAACGCTGATGTTGAATCCACGACAATGAACCACTCCGAAATCCACCAAAGCTTCAACCCTCAGTTTCCCGGAATCCACCGAAGAACAATTCTCTTTTTTTTGAATAAAAGAAAATAAACAAATCCCTTGATGATGTTTCTATAAAATTCATGGATCCATTGATCACTCTTAAATCATCAAGAAAATACTCATAAAACACTCTTCAATATAAATCACATTGTATTTTATTCCTCTTTGAAAATATGGATGGCACAAAACCTAAAAACAGCGAACAACACACTGTATAGAAAACAAGATCGCGCAGACCGCTAGAACGCACTAATGACAACTCAATCTCATAACATTATCAGCGAAGTGGCAAGCTTGTAAGCCTCAAGATCACAAACTCCTCTGTATACGCACAATTCGGATTAGATTCGCATCTAAACACTTACATTCTTGCTGAAACAAAAAAGTGAATAAATTTACAACTGAAAGGAGTTTTGTCAAACAACACAACTTTACTTTCAATTATCTGACGAATCCACGTCCGAATAAAACCGATCTCAATGTGCCTCTTCTACTACCGTCTTCACTTCGGAATTGTCTTTTCCAATATTGAATCCACAACGCTGATGTTGAATCCACGACAATGAACCACTCCGAAATCCACCAAAGCTTCAACCCTCAGTTTCCCGGAATCCACCGAAGAACAATTCTCTTTTTTTTGAATAAAAGAAAATAAACAAATCCCTTGATGATGTTTCTATAAAATTCATGGATCCATTGATCACTCTTAAATCATCAAGAAAATACTCATAAAACACTCTTCAATATAAAACACATTGTATTTTATTACTCTTTGAAAATATGGATGGCACAAAACCTAAAAACAGCGAACAACACACTTTATAGAAAACAAGATCGCGCAGACCGTAAGAACGCACTAACGACAGCTCAATCCCATAACATTATCAGTGAAGTGGCAAACTTGTAAGCCTCAAGATCACAAACTCCTCTGTATACGCACAATTCGGATTAGATTCGCATCTAAACACTCACATTCTTGCTGAAACAGAAAAGTAAATAAATTTACAACTGAAAGGAGTTTTGTCAAACAGGATTACCAATCACAAAAACCTAACAATAATTGAAGTGAATAATTAGAAAACCGAAACTAAAAACATATCCTTCTTAACTTTTCAATAATTAGTTTAGTTTTTTAAACTAATTTAGTCTTCGTTTGGGAAGAGCTAAAATGGCCTAGTTTTTTGGCTATTTTAGCTTGATTTTTTAGCCTCGTTTGGTTTTTTTTTTTTTTGGCTTTTTTGATTTTTGTGAGAAAAAATGTGTAATGATTATAGTTTGAATGTGACATTTTGTCTTATTAACTTATGTAGCCAATTTTATCTTTTGTGCTTTTTTAGCCAAAAAACCAAAACCCAACATAGCTTTAACTATTTTTGTATTATAAAACGTAAGTAGAAGTTGTACCACACAATATGATACAAAATTCTCAAAATAAAATAACATAAGCAACCCATAAAATACACAGGTTTAAGATTGGGGGCAGATGGAGCAATCTAAACATTATAAGTGGCCATTGGTATAATTTATTATAAGCTAAAAATTAATAATTAGAAACCAAAAGTCAAAAGAATTTCTTTTCCAACTTTCAGATAATCAATTTTTTCAACTTATTTAAGTTATTTATATTTAATAAGTTACAAGAAAAAGTTATATCAAATAGTTTGATACGTACTCTCAATATATATATATATAAACAATTCAGATAAATTACACCAAATAGTCTCAAATATTGATCTCATTATTCTTGTGTTATGTATTAATAATTAGAATTTAATAGTTTTGAACTTTTACAGATGAATGAGTTTAAAGGTACTCCAGAAGTGTCCTCAATGTCTTCAAATGGTGAAGTTAAGGCGCAATCACCAAACAAAGGTATTATTTTCTTTTGCTTTTCCATTTTTTTCTTCTTTTCATTTGCTTCTTTCTAGAAGGACATTTTTATTCTTTATCGACCAAAGGTACATGTTCTAAATCTCTATTCTAATGCATTGTCCTCTCCAATCTATTAAAGAAATAAAAAAGAAAAAAAGGTTCCTCTATTTGGTAAGGTGAGAATATGTAATTAGCAAAAAAAGTGAATTTTAAATATATTACATTTCAATTATAAAAAAGGATATTTATAACCACATTTTCTTACAACAAATGAATCCTACATTTATTTATTAATCTAGCTAAAAGAAGAGTTTTGTAGGTAAGAAAAGGAAGTATTGTACCATTATTTTTTAAGTATTTACATTTTAAAGCTATATTTTTATCTTAAATTTATCGAAAGAAAAGTAAACTACAAGATAAATGAAATTACTTATAATATTAACAATTTTTATGAATAGCTAAACAAAAAATCAATTTTTGTAGTACAAGTATCTATTTATTTTCTTCTCATTTTCCTAACCCAACAACAAAACCAAAACCAAAAAAAATAATAAAAATGAACTTCTTTTGCTTAAATTTGTTTGCCTATCTTTTCAAAAAAAAAAAAAAAAATTCATCTACAAATTCAAAATCCAAAGACAATAGTAGAAAAAATTAGAACCTCCACAAATGGCTTCAATACGAAGTTTTAGCTCGGTGGAGTTGAGATATTTCTTAAAGAAAATGCTATTTATAATGAATTTTTGTCTTGAAAATTATTCCGAAAGTGAGGTATGCAGTGTAAATGCTCAAAATGATTGTGGGTCTGTAAATATATATTTTTTGGATGATTTTCTGAGTATGTAATATTACTAATTTCTTGAAAAAATAAAAACATGAATAATGGGACTTGGAATATTAATATTGTTTTTATTTCCTCATATATATTTATTTTGTTGCTGACCAAAATGGAGAGAAAATTGCTTATGTTTTTTTTTCCTGAAAATTTGGTAATATAATAAAGCCTTTGTAATTATCATGTATGTGTAATGAACAAATTTTGGGAATTCAAGATTCATTGCTCCAAGATATTACGGAAATGTCAAAGCCATCGGGTGACCCGTTGGACTGCCTGCCCCGACATAGTTCTAACAAACCAAAGCAATCTAGGCGGGGAAGCAATTCAATGGATTCCCCGACCCGAGATCCAAATAAGCCTCGACGACACAAGAATTCAGGTAGTTTCGATTCCCCGACCCGAGAATCGTCTAAACGGGCTATCCGACTCCAAAATTCCAACCTCGGGCTGGACTCAACTTCTCAAGATCCGCACCCACCCAAGATGCCAAAAAAATCTCGTGGAAAGACATCCAAGGGCACATCAAGTGTTGTGTCGAATAGATCATCTAAATCTAAAGGTCCTAGCTCATTGACCGGAAATAATCAATACTCGGATCCTGGATCTGGGCAAGGGGTAAATAACAATGGGACGTGCCCAAATTCAGTTTTGGAAATGTATGAAGACGGGAAAGAATGTGATGCGAAATCAAGAGGAATTCGAGCCTTGTAAATTATAGAGATTTTATACATAATTTATTTATGCATGTAAAGTTTGTTGTATTTCTTAACGATTTTTTATTTTTTATTTTTCTTCATTTTAGTTTTTCATTGTCATATGCTCCTCTAGCTTGGTTAGCTACTACTAGGATTATGGCTTTATGCTTCAAAAAAAACTAGTGAAAAGTTGAAAATCTTGCAAATGGATGTGTTACTTTGAATGATTCCAGAATTATGATTTTCTAGGCAATCCAACAAGCATTGAAGGGGGCTAATGTGTACAACAAATATGCCAAAAGCTTGTATGTTAAATTCTATTTTATGCAACCTAAGAGAAAGTAAACCATTGTTTATTTTACAAAATGAATTTGAATCACTGATAGTGGCATTAACTGAATATCCTTTTGATCGTAACTAAAAGCATCACAATTGATCGTAAACAAAACCATTTTAGAACATAACTAAACACATACAACCAACTTTAATTTGATAATTTGCTATACTCATCACCACAATCATTCATAACAAAACACTGTAAGAGTGTTTCCAATAGGCAAAGTCATAAGGGTTGCCAAAACTTTTTTTTTTTCTTTCAGAAATCTCAAAAACTCTTCTCTAATGGTGAGTCAAATGCCTTGTCAAAAAATAATAAAGTCAAATTTTATATCAAATTTGATCGCAAAGGATTTTGAGTAGTAGATCCAACAGTCAAAATTTAATATGAAAATTGGTTGTATCCAAATAACATGTGAACTATTGAAATCACTGAAAAAAAAAAAAAACAGTTAATTTTTTAGGATTTTTTTTTAAAAAATTAACTTTTTGAATTGAAAAATTACAAATTAGTGAAAAGATCCCAAAAAAATTATAAAATCACGAAAAAAATTATCACTTTATTAAAGTTGATAAATTTTATCATTAATTTCTAATTTTATTTTAGTCTTTTGCACACATTTGCAATTTCTCCTTTTAAATTCATCTACACCGCAGTAAGTTTTTGGCTAATTAAATTAAGCCATGGTCTCTCTTGTCCCGTGCAAGTTTCTTTCTGTTTTCGAGTGGAAGTCTGTGATTTGTATGCGGTGTGGTGAATCTTCTTCAGTGTCGCACTGATATGGAGGCATTGGTGGATGATCTGCTTGTTGGGGATCGTGGGCACACTAGGAACACAACCAAGCAATAACACCAGAGTTTTGACGTGGTTCGGCAATCCGGCCTACATCCACGGGTAACACTATATATTTAGAAGAGGAGATTACACACTCAACTCACACTGTCTCTATATATAGCTTACTCTCTCTCTCACTCTGATAACACAAACAGAACGCTTCACATACTCACTGCTTGCCTCTGTTTTGTGTCTATTGGTTTCCCTTTCCTCTCATCTCTATTTATACAGAAAAAGAAGAAAACGAAGTCAATGAAGCAAAGTTATTGAGCTGCCAACTACCAACAGCCATCTTCCCACCTTCCTTCTACTTCTTGACTTCAAGCATGCAGCTTTCACATGAGGATCACCCCTTTCACATGGAGTGACCTCTAACAATCACCCCATCATCCCATTTGAGGCGATCCGCAACAAAACCTGCTGCTAAGATACCTAGCACCCCTTGATTGGATGCCCTGCATTGCCATGCAACTCCTTGCACGATAAACACGGGAGCAACTAGAAAACTTCAGAGTTTGACACATCAACATCCTCAATTTTCCTTGCTCGGAGCTTATTTCTAAATAACCAGCCTTTGCTTTCTGCACTTCAGAATAACTTCCCAGTGATCTCATACGCCCGTTGTCTGTGTTGCAATCCCTGATGTTTGGTTCTGTCTCACTTGTACGTCCGTACTGATGTTTGACAGTTAGCCCTTCTGCCAAGACAGCTTCCACCAGTCTGTACAAGCTACCACTATGCAACTCCGTGCATAGTGCTCACACTCCCTTACTGGGGTGCCGTGCAAAACTCACTTTGCGACTCGAGATTGCATCCCTCCCTTCCACGCATCTTTTGAGAGGTTGCAAAATGTCTCTAACACAGGAGCAAAAGAAACTCTCTTCTTCACTGGCATAGTCTCTATCGACTCGGTTTCTTTGCTCTGAACTTCCTTCAAGATTGGCTTCACTAGCTCAGATCTGTGCACCTTCGAACTGCCTCCTTGCGTTCCCATGCACCTTTTTTTCCATTCTTGATGAAAGCCTTGCTTAGTCATACGCTTTGGTTGCGTATGATCTCTCTTTGTACCCTTCAACTGGTGTTTGACAACACTCATCTTTGTCAAAACTTCTCCTTCCAGTCTGTACAGTTTGTTGCACAACTTGCCTTGCAACATTTCTCTATCGTTTTTGTGTACATGAAGAACCCCGCCACTAGATAAGAAACAATTTCCTTTTAGATCTAGCATACTCAGGGAGATTAGATTCCTCCGTACTCTTGGCACATGTCGGACCTCAGATAAAACCACTTTTCTTCCATCCTTAGTAAGGAACTGCACTGTACCAATGCGGACAATTCTGTTCACTGTGTTGTTGGCCATCCGGATAATGCTACTGCTGACTCTTCGCTAAGTGGAAAAAAGCTTCCTATCCGTACATATGTGGAACGTACACCCTGAATCCAAAATCCAGCTGGTTGTCTCCAACTCTGACGAGACTGTAAGCATCACATCTTCATCGTCAGAGGAATTCACTGCAACTGCTGTAGTTGAGGGACCTCCGTGTCCCTTGGCCTTCTCTTTGGCTTGTTTGTCCGCCTTTTTCTCTGGGCAATCTCTTATTACGTAATCGTCTTGATCACAATAAAAGCACCTTCTCGTGTTGCCTTATCTGGATTATGAATGCCCTCTGCTTTTACTTCTTCCTCTACCTCTGTCTCTTTCTCTATCTCTGCCTCTACTTTCTATGGCAAGGGCCTGGGACTGCTCTCCTCTCATCTCTCTCTTCCTTGCCTCCTCGTTGAATAAGGCATCTATGACCATCCCCATGGTTAGCTTCCCTTTAGGTGCAGAATTACTGAGAGAAACCACCAATGTCTCCCAGCTGTCTGGTAAGGAACTGAGTAATAATAATGCTTGCATCTCATCCTCTAACTCTATTTTGACTGATGCAAGCTGGTTCACAAAGCTGTGGAATTCACTAGTGTGTTCAGCAACAGACACACCACTCTTCAGTTTCAGGTTTATAAGCCTTCTCATTATCAAGGCTTTGTTCCGTGCGGTCTTGGACTGGTACATGCCTTCCAATTTCATCCATAGGGCATAAGCATCTGTCTCTTGGGCAACATAGTGGAACACACTGTGGTCAACCACTGTCTGATTTGGCCGACAGTCTTCCGGTTGGTTTTTATCCAGTCATCATCCTTGTCTCCATTTGGTTTAACCCCCTTTAGCGCTATAGGGTCAAACAAGTCTCTACAATATAGGATGTCCTCCATCCGCAGCTTCCATATCGCATAATTGGAAGCGTTCAACCGAATCATCGGCCCTAGAACTGATGTGGATTCCTCCATCGACATATCTCTCTTTTATAGAGGCTTCAAAACACAAATATGATGGTACAGATGTGTCCGGAGCACTCCAAATAATTGGAAACCACTATTGGATCACCAAGATCGAACCTCAAATGGCTCAGATCAAGCCAAAACAAGTCTGTACGGTTCAGATCTGAAAAATCCGGACTGATGAGAAGCACCGAATCAATCCTCTAGAAGAGCTGACATCTACGGCTCAGCTGCTGAGGGCACGGCTTGGTCAGCGGCTCTGGTCAACGCAGCTCCAGTCAACGGCTTGGGCTCGGCTTGGTTAACACGGCTTAGACAACTCGGCTCACGGCTTGGCTCAATGGCGCGGCTCAGCTGACGGCTTGGCTAACTTCTCGGCTCAGCTTGGCTTAGGGTGACGTCATGCTGACATCATAAACACGCGCGCCTCCACTCGCCTTCTTCTTCTCGACAGCGCGTGGGGTGCGTGTTGAGCGTGGTCTTAACGCGCTTTCTTCCACTGGTGCGTAAGGGCGCGTGTTTGGTTGTATGGTGTAGACACCCCATTTTTGACCGACCTTGAGACTCAGACGTCACCAATTGAGCACTCGATGATATTGCATGTTGTGCTTGTTCAGAAGCCTCAGAGTCGCGGCTACGAGCCCTACCTCCGGACTTCCAAACCCTCTTCTGTGCCTTGCCTCGGTTTGCGAACCAGACTCGATTTTCTTTGTTTCTTTTCCTGAGGGGAGGGAGAGGTCCCATAGACCATCTCTCGGTGGCCGTGGGCTAAATTTTGTGGCCGTAGGCCATTTTGCCCATTTCGGAGCCCGGTTTCCGATTTTTCGGAACCGTTGGCCGTGTGCCTCGGTTCGGGACCGCTTAACCATCTTCGTTTCCTCTGTTTTTTTGGCATACTTCTTATTTGCTCCCTTTTGAGGGACACTGGGGTCTGAGAAACCCACTTCGTGGTCGAATGCCACTTTCGGTGCTTAACAGCCCATTTTCGGGACCCCAAACTGCGCGTTTTGGCCCCCGAACATTCGTTTTGCATCGGTTTTCGTTCATTCTTGGCAAGTACCTCTGTTTCATCACCAGGAAGGCCATAGAAGGGTGGGAGGCCAGCAATTGTCTCGGCAACCAGTTATATTCCTCCGGCGCCCTCCGACGCCCGTTTTTTCTCACTTCCGAGCCAATGTTGAACAACCTTGGGCCATTTTCTTGAACTTTTAACCACATATTTGTGTTGTACACACATGGGAGGACACTAAAAGTTGGTGGCCGGCCAGTAATTCCACCTGACCCTTTTGAACCCTTCCTAAAAATGGCTTGTTTTCTCTCCTGTTTCACTGTTTCCAAATTTAAACCATAGGGTTGTGTTGAGAACACATGGGAGGACACCAATTTGTGGTGGCCGGCCAGAAAGTCTTGTTGACCTTTTTGACCCTTGGCCGGCCGGCCATCTGCAACTCTAAAAAGTGGCCGGTCATGATCCTTGCAATGTGTACTTTACAGCTGTATAGCTGTTGTCCCCCAAAAAGATCTGTATCCGGGGGACAGCTTTTGGGGGAAAAATTGGCTC